CTTTTGCATACGAACTCCGTTTTTGACGTTCTTTATATGCATGCGTAGGTATTTACGAGTACTACAACTCTTTTTTAGGCTTAAATAACTAATTCTAATTATATTTTAAATTTCTCTTATTATAGAGATGTATAGTGTTCGGTTATCATAACTTCTTCATGCGAAGTCAGATTCAGACGTTCTCTATATTTTTGGAATCGTATGGACGTATACTTTGAGTTCTATCATAAAGAAAGTTCATATTTGTATTAGAATTTATCATGAACTACATAACATTCTTACCACATTACTAGGTTAACATAATCACATTACATGATTGGCATAATCACATGTGATTGTCTATTGACCTATTTTGACTAGTGTTACAAACTGAAATAGCACCAGATCAAAGGAAGAAATTTTTGCAGAGATTCTAACAAGTACAACAACAAGGAAGCGGCACCCTTCCTGGAATGCCGCCTATTTCTTGAGGAACTTATAAGTAATTTTCAACAGAGCAAAACCCTCTTCTACAACAGGTTTCTCCTTCATATTTCATATTTTGTAATTCTTCAGATTATTTTTATTTTAACTAAATGATGTTATTGTTATGTTAATATGTTCACAGTTTAATTCCCAAAGCTCAAGTGGATTGGGTGGGGCACTGCCAGCAAGTCCCAACACTGCCACGTCAGCACAACAACAAAATCTAATCCATTTACAGTCAAGTAAACAAATATCAACTGGTTCTAAAGATAGCGGTAAACTCTTTGACTTTTTCTTTAACATTATTGTCAAAGATAAATGAAATTTAAAAACAAATTACGATTTAAAGCAGCAAATAACAATTCAAAAGTTGATGAGATTGAACAACAACAACAACAAATACACCAACAAAGCGTTACATCTGATGACTCAATACCTGATCCTGCACAATCTCCTGTCCTTAACAAGAACACTTCCAATGAAGAAGATTCAAACGTCTCATATGCATTAGACATGCAGCAGGTATAATTTATTTTTAATTCATTTTTCTTCTAGGGTTTATATTTTATAATATAATTTTTTACAGGGGTGAAATGGGTGCTCCTCTTGCAAAAAGCTGAGAAGCCAGCTGGAAAATCAATTCCAAATGGATATGATTCCAAAAGTAGTACAAAGATGGAATCACCTATTCCAATTTTGATGACCGATGGAATGATGCCACCTCCTCCACGACTCCCAAAATTTAATTCAACAACAAAGTTAGTTGAAGACAATATCGTAAAAACACCAGAAATATTGTACTATTGTTGATAAGAAGGTGGAAAAGAGGTGTTAGAATGCAAACTTTTTTTTTTGGTTTTTTCATTTTGTTATAGGTTTACCAAACTACTGTTGTTGGTATCAGAGCCACCGGTACGACCAATTATACCATCCTACTTTGATATTCTCCTGTTGCAATATTGTACTCTAAACCTCATATCGATGCCCTTCAATCTCTTTGTTACTATCATGTTACTATTAGTGGCAAAAATGTTTGTGTTGATATTTGCGTTGTTCCTATGCAGGTAGATGGATGGATGGAAGGGGTAAACAAAAATTGACACCTTCCTAGACCCTGTATAGAGGGTATTTTAAGGGGTAATTAAGATTCATAGTAGGCCTGTCAAATCGGACCGTCGTGTCGTGTTTTTGTCTGACACGACACGACACGACAATTTTTTTTGTAACACGAACAAGACACGACACGATGTCGTGTTTTTTCTCACTAACACGAAAACGAACCAATTAAAAAAAATGACAACACGACACGACACGACAAAGATAATATTACATAACTATTATTTTATTTAATTCATATTTAATCATATATAACACGATAAAAACGACAAACACGAAAACACGACAAATACATGCTCAATCGTGTCAATTTTGTGTGGATTTGTAAACACGAACACGACACGACACGACATCGTGTTTTTTAAACTTGACACGAACACGACACGAAAACGAATTCGAATTTTGATTTCGTCCTGATTTCGTTTCGTGTCGTGTATTTTTGTCGTGTCGTGTCATAAATTGACACCCCTAATTCATAGTTAGGGTTAGGTGCAACAATTAGCAATGTGATTCTACTGATTTGTTCCTTATATCATCATTCTTTCATTCTTAACTCTTATTACAACATTCTACTATTAACATTTAGCCTAATTATAACAATGTAATCTAAGTATGAAACAGTTTTCCGTTATCTAATGGTTGGCATGATTTCATGTTCTTTTGTAGGTTGATGATATTACACTTCCCCCACATAATTGTAAGAGGTATCAATCTGAACTGTTTGCAACTTATATGATAAGTCCTATGAATATGCTAAATTCTTAAATTCTCATTTAAACATTTTTAGGCATTTCTTGGGAATTTTAGGTCTGTGGATTCATGATTTTACAATGTATGGTTTTGTGTTGTGTATCCCTTTGATTAAGGCTGTTGGCAGCAATGGAAATTACAAAGCTATCGTAGAAGTTTGTGAGCAGCTGCGAATAGTAGAAAACCGACTCAAAGTCAAAAGGTGCCAAGTCCTTTCGAGGCGACAACATTGCTCGGCTGGATATTCCTGCTGATTTCGTAGTTTATTAGATAATAAATAGTTTTTGATTATTTTTACATGTAACATCAATGGCTTCCTCCATGATCTCACATTCCCTGTTCCCGTTGGTGCACAAGTTTATTTATTTATTTATTTTTTGCAGATGATCTGCTGATGGGGAGATCCTCGGTTGATTTAACAAGTGGTTTTTAGGATGATCGACAAGAAAGGTGGCATGATGAGTTCCAACCATGGTCCCCCTAAGCCCCTATTGAGTTCCAACCATGAAACTTGGACAGTTAACTAGAGGGTTATAATTAAAAATTATTGTTTTTCATTGATAATCAATTGGAAAATAAGGCATATGATCTATATTTGACACTTATATGACATTAAATATTTCCATATTTAGTTTGTAAATGTAGTAAATAGCAATGTACTATGAATTTAAAAAAAAATTCCCTTTTTTTTAATAATTTCTTCTGATTTTTCTTTTCCAAAAACCTAACTACATTGGCTAATGGTGCATTTTCCATTTTTAGGAGTAATATGCTCTAAATAGCAATGAACTTTGCATTTATACATTTATAATTGCAAGGTTGGAACATTTTTTATTTTTTGTTAAATTTAAACGAATACTATCATTTTGTTTGTTATAGACCTCCAATTACAACTACTCATTTTTAATAATTGTTTGTTTTAATATTGCATGTGACATGGAAGCATTTGTATAATTGCAGTAAATAGCGACATACTTTGAATTTTCACGTTTTTTTTTTCCATTTTTCTTTTGATTCTTTTTTCCAAAAACCTAACTACATTGCCATTAGGTATATTTTCTATTTTTTGTACTAAAATGCCCTAAATAACAATGTACTTTGAAGTTGTACCTATTTTTCTTTTCCTTTTTTTTTTTTTTGCATTGTCATTTTGATTAGTTTTCCATTTTTAGGTTATAGATGCAGTGAACAGCACTGTACTTCAAATTTAAAAAATATTTCTTGTTTTTATTGAAATTTTTTCCCATAAAACTTCTGATCGTAATAATAGACTATTTTATTAAAAGATATGCAACTTGTTTATTAAACTGAAACATTATTTTATTTTATGACTTTATTACTGAAGCTGTTTAAGGGATATTTTAGGCAATTTTTCATAATAATAGGCTGCTATGGTCAGATGGAAAGTTGCAGCTAAAAATGTGATTATTTTGAAATCTATTTTTTTTAGTATTTTGGTCAGAAAAATTGATTTATGTGTTCTTCATTACAGGGTATTTAGGAATTCTGTGTTTATCAATAGTTGATCAAATGACATTTACAAAGAACAAACAACGGAAAAAAAATTGTCGTATCCGACCCCGCAACGAGGGGGTCCCCACCTAGTATATATTAAAGTTGTGGAAGAAAGGAAGAGTAAACTTGGCATACTTTGTCCAGGTTTGGTTGGTCTCTTGATTTACATATCCGGTCCCTGTCCTTCTTTAATTAATTTATTCATATCCTTTTGTTTGGATTCCATTCAACTTCCCATTTTTTTGGCAGAATTGGTCCCTGTATTATTGTTGGAAGTTAGGAATACTAAATTTGGATGTTTTTTGACAACTTTGCTCATTATTCTTTACCCATTTTGACACTTTTGGTCATTGCAATCAATATTTTTACACTTTTTTGGAACATTTTAATATTTAAAGTTTGGCCATAAAACTTTAACGGTTTGACAACTTTGATCCCTTTTCTAAAAAGTTGCTAATTCCTACCATTTTAATTCTTTAGCTATTTTCGCACTTCTGATCCTTACAGTCAAAACTTTTACATTTTTTATCCGGAGCAAAGCCCGGACTTTTCATCTTTGCACTTTCTATGTCTGTCATATTTATCAATTCGAAAACAACATTGAAAGCTTCTGACCCCGCATAGTGGAGGTAACCTTTCTAGTTTATAAAAAAAATGTTTATAGTTATTTTTTAAATAACTTAATTCTTTTTATACATATTTGACCATGTAACGGTCTAATATGTAAGAAAAAATATATAAAAAATAAAATTAACAAAAAGTAAAAAAGACAAAAAAAATAATTACCATTGTAAATCATTTTCCAAATAAACGGGGACATTTCGTAAATATACATAATTCTACTTCCATTACTTTTACACATTACTGGTAAAAAACAGACAACATTACACCACATGACCACATCTGTTTCATTTCTATTTTCTAGAAAATCCCCGTCCCCGTTTTTTCCTTGTGTCGATTCTCGATCTGATTGCCAAATCCACCAAATTACCCTTCTGATCCCTGTAGATAATTTCAGTTCTTGTGTCACAGTACTTTTTTCGCGATCTGGTTGAAGATCTTGTCATATCCTTCCACTTATCAATTGGGGTTTTTGATTCGAATTATGTTCTTACTGATCTGGGAATCGCTTTGACGGTGGGGTTTTTTTTTTTTTTTTTTTTTCAATTGATTTTGGAAATCGACGATATACTTGAAGCGGAGAATGGATCAATTCGATGCGCTTTTCCGAAGAGCAGATTTGGATCATGATGGAAGAATCAGTGGAGCTGAAGCTGTTGCTTTCTTTCAGGGTTCTAATTTACCTAAGCCAGTGCTTGCTCAGGTACTTAAAATTCAACATCTCTGTGTATTGAACTCCCGATTGAATTTGTAAGGGGTTTTAGATATCCACTTTCTGCAGTCATTGACTAATCTATTTAATATTTCATACTATATCCGTTCTATAGTCGAGGAGCAGTCTGACAGATGGTTGAATACTTGAATATTAAGGAGAATTCGTATCATATCTTGTGCTATAAACCGTTACAAGCCATTTTGGGTTTCCACTCTCCACTGAATTTTGATTCGTGAGCATCTCTAGGAACAGTGCGGATGAATTGAGTTGACTGTAGAGTAATAGTATAATGAGAGTCCACTAACTTGAATATTAGAAGTGAGGAATCAAAGTTTGTAATACTGGTAATTAGAAGCTAGGAGTTGTAGGAAGTTAGAAGAATGTAGGGGTTCAAGTGCATTTGGATCTTCCTATTCACACTGGAACGAAGTTGATAGACATTGGAACATTTCCTTCAATTCTCCCAAAACTATTGTGAATAGCAAGATCTGTAAAGTAGTTCCCATATGCATATTGTGAGTTAAAGTCTGTAATACCTTTAAAGTAGTTCAGGTAGATTAAAGATGTCTGTCTCATAGATGTCTAAAACACCTTCAATAATGCAACATATATTTGGTCATTACTAATTCTGTCATTAAGTTGTAGGTGACAATTATCAACTAGGTACCTTTATCTTGAAAATTTCCAAAAGTAAATGATATTTTTTGATATTTACGATATACATATACCCCGAAATGGAAATTGTTGCAACTTTAATGGGATGTTATGCACAAAATTCACTTATTTACATTTCATTCTGGAAAATCGTTTATTTTCCTATCATATTACTAGACCATGCAACACACCATGTTTTTACATTTAAAAAACATAGGAAACTAATTCCATGTAGTAACTTCTAGCACTAGGTACAAAAGTTGAGTTTAGTATTGACTTACATGTGGAAAAATAGGTGGCTTGGGTAATAGATTTAAACCGACTCAGAACCAAACAAGTAGTTTTGCAGGAAATTACAAAAACGGTCCCTGTGCTTTCTGATTTTTACCTTGATTACTCCAAAATTGAAACCTTTTTCAGTTTTGGTTCTTATTTAAAGGCTTCATACTGATTTTGACCCCTGAAACCCTGAAAAGAAGGACCGGTTTTGAAAAAAGATTTCAGTTCTGGACTAAAGACGGTTTGAATCCGAAAGCACAGGGACCATATTTGTAATTTACTCTATTTTCATATGGTACAACGTCATTCTCATCAATCTTTTTTAATATTTGTATAATTAGTATATTAATTAATATATTACATAAAATTACAGATATGGCAGCATGCTGATCAGAATAGAACTGGCTTCCTTGGGCGTCAAGAATTCTATAATGCCCTTAAACTTGTAACTGTTGCACAAAGCAAAAGAGAATTAACACCAGATATAGTAAAAGCAGCCTTATATGGGCCCGCTTCAGCTAAAATCCCCCCTCCTCAGATAAACCTTTCAGCTCTTCCTCCATCTCAACCCAATCCAATGACTCCACCTCAACGCCCTCCTACACAGCAGCCCGGAATCGTCAATTCCATTCCTCCATCTCAACCGAATTCAATGGCTGCTCCAAGCCCTCCTGTACAGCAGCCCGGAATCATCAATTCCATCCCTCCAATGACTCAACCTCAACGTCCTCCTCCTACACAGCAGCCCGGAATCGTCAATTCCATTCCTCCAGCTCAACTGAATTCAATGGCTCCAAGCCCTCCTGTACAGCAGCCTGGAATTAGCAATTCCATTCCTCCCCAAGCTTTTGGTATAAGAGGACAAGTCCCTCCGAATTCTTCAGTGGCCCCACCTTCTTCTGTTCAGTATTTCCCATCCCAAAATCAATCAGTGAGACCAAACCCTAGTGTTGGTGGTGGGCCTAGTTTGCTGCCAGGTGGCGGGCTGTCAGGTCTCGCGGGCCCCGGTGTTCCAACTCCTAGACCATCATTAGGAAGTGGAAACATTTCTGATGCTATGTTTGGAGGTGATGTGTTTTCTGCTTCAAAATCTTTATCCAATCCAACACAAACCGCAACTTCTGAGCCACAGGGTCCGGTCAAGATTGACCCTCTTGGTGCATTGACCGCTTTCACAAGGCAACCAGGTCCGAGACCGAGTCAACCGGGTCCAACTCAAACTCAAAACAATTCATTTGGGTCGTCTGGGTTTCCAGCTGAGGTGAAAACACAAGGTCCAAATGTGTTGTCACAACCTCAGTGGCCAAAAATGACAAGGGCAGGTGTTAATAAGTATATGAAAGTGTTCATGGAAGTTGATTCTGATAGAGATGGGAAAATTACTGGTGATCAGGCACGTAATTTGTTTACAAGTTGGAAACTACCAAGAGGTATCAACTTTTTTTTTTTCTTGCTATAAATACAAGCAATGTGCTTTGTTGTTTATACATAATAGTATCATAGTTTTTTTATATGTAATATCAACATGCTTCCGTTTCTTTACTGATAGTAGCAATATATAACATGAAACTTGTGAAATGCTTACAAGTTTCATTTTGCATATTGCTATTGTAAATGGAAGTATACGTAATTGCAATGGAGTTGCTATTAAGTGTAAAGAAATGTAAGTATGTTGCTATTATGTGTTTACATATGGATATCATTGTTAAACAGTGTAAGTACATTGCTATTTCCTGCAATCTGGCGTAAATTGTAAGAAAAACTTTGGTAACTACATGACACTACACAAGTATTATTTATTTGGATGTGCGTTTAAATTGATTATTATAATTTGCAGACTTGTAGTCGCAATATACATGTTTGAGTGTTTAGGTAAAAATTATTATGATTATGATTTTCTGGTTACTTGGATCACTAAAAAGATTTGTAGAAGCAGAAGAAAACTGTTTATTTGGATATTTGTAAAATTACTTACCTATCCCTATCCCTATCCCTAGCTTGAATTTAATCAGTTTTCTGATTGTCTGGAGTAAAGATGTTATTTCTGTCTGATAACATATTTTCGTTTAACACAAAACCCATAATATTCTCTTTTTTTTTTTTTTTTTTTTTTTTTTTTTTTTGTTCACAGAAATTCTGAAACAGGTTTGGGACTTATCTGATCAAGATAATGACAGCATGCTTTCCTTAAGGGAATTCTGCATTGCTTTGTATTTAATGGAAAGATACAGAGAAGGCCACAACCTTCCACCAACACTTCCTAGTAATGTCTTACTTGATGAAACTCTCTTGTCTCTCACTGGTCCACCTAATCCTTCTTTTAGACCTCCAAACTGGGGGCCCACTTCTGGTAATTGTTTTACATTCCATTTCATTATTTTAAAATTTAAAATAGTGTTTGCTATGATGGAATGGAATGGACCATTCTGCCCCTTCCATTTTGTTATTTTCATTCCTTATGTGTGGATTGGAATGAGAACTGTAATATAACCCATATTTTTTTATATGGTTCTTTAATTGCATGAATCTTTATAAACTTTTCACGATTGATGCTTTATTTTTTCCAATCAAACTATAATAGTCTCAAACATTTTCCCAAATTAACCAAACATGATCATAGTGGTCTGAAAACATGAAAATTTCTTCTTTTTTTTTTAGCAAACTTCTAGTCCTTTATCGCCATTATTGGGCACATTAGTGGTTGATTAAAATTTGAATATATGAAATGTATCTTTTCATAAACCATGAAAATTGAAATTTAGATACTACTAAATTATTATTCTGAATATATATATTTTTTTCTATCCTGTTTAGGTCCGCCACCTCAGCAAGTGATGCCTGGTGGTCAACCAATGCCTCCACATACTGGTTTAATGAGGCCTCCTATGACTGGTCCTCAGCCATTGCTATTTAATAATAATAGTAATAATAATAATAATAATAATCAGCAGAAAGGACCTAATCACTCAATGGATACTTCTCATGCAAATAATCTCACTAATGGTGATCAACATACTACTCGTTCCACAAATGAACCAGAAAAAGTGGTAAAACTTTTCTTCTGAGTTTTTACTTTTCCATTTACCTTCAATTCAAGTTTTTGATGTTTTGGAATTGTTATCATATCAATAATACTACTGGATTTGTACTTTTCCATTTACCAGAAAAAGTGGTAGAACTCTTATCTTTATGCTATTAGTCTTATTTGTGACAAAATGTCTCAGTTTATTTGTTTTCTGATACATGAACTTCTTGGAGAATGGGGTTGATGAGTTTTAAGTATCTTTATGTGTGATTACAACTATTTTTATGTACATTTGATTACTTTTATATAATTGATCATATTCTAAAGCTAAACTTAGATGGCCAACATCCATGGTATAAAGAAAACTTCAAACCAAAGAATTAATGTGTGTTTGAATTGAATGTGTATTTAATTTGGCATTTTCAAATTTAACTTGCAGCAATAATTAGTTTTGAGAGTTTGGGTAAAAGTGGTCAATCATGAATTATGATTTATTATTATTATTATTTAGGATAAACATTAGACATCAGTTGAGTGGTTATTTTGGTAAAATGCTCACTGTGGCTGGTTTCCATTGTTGTTAAAAGGTTGAGGATAAGAAGTTGATTCTTGATTCTAGAGAAAAGATGACCTTCTTCAGAAACAAAATGCAAGACCTTGTAAGTACCTGTTTTTATCTAATTATTTTTTTCGTGTCTTTGTGCATTTGTTTTAACCATGAGCTATAAATTATCTTGAAACTTATATACATACATAAATATAATCTATATATTTACAGGTGTTATACAAAAGCAGATGTGATAATCGTCTTAATGAGATCACAGAACGTGCCTTAGCTGATAAACGTGAGGTATTTTTTCGATTAAAAAAACCATGTCTTCTTATTTTATATCTTTCGTTTACTTTTTTGTTAATTTTTTTTTAAAAAAAATTGTCATTGTTTTATTTCAGGCAGAGTCTCTTGCCAAGAAATACGAAGAGAAATACAAGCTGGTGGCTGACGTGGCCTCTAAATTAACTATCGAGGAGGCATCTTTCCGTGATATTCAGGTAAAAGATTTTACCCTTTTCATATTCTATAAAATTAATAATCCAACTTTATATATTATTACAAATCTTTTTGTTATTTGAATTAGAGATTCTTGATGGCTTTTATTTTTATAGGAGAGAAAGATGGAGTTGAATCAAGCTCTTGTGAAAATGGAACAGGGTGGTAGTGCTGATGGCATCCTTCAAGTAAGTTCACCTACCCTACCCTACCCTACCCTACCCTACCCTACCCCACCCCACCCACCCTACAAGTTCATGATAAACATATGTTTGGATCTAGGTTCGAGCTGATCGTATACAATCGGATCTTGAGGAACTACTGAAGGCATTATCAGAACGTTGTAAGAAGCATGGAATCAGTGTCAAATCAACTGCAATTATTGAGCTTCCACAAGGTATAATCTTTCATATGATGATGCTTTATTTAGCAATAACCTCAGTAATTTCATATTATGATAATAATAATTATTATTATGATCTAATTTTGCCCTTTTTTTTTGTTATTGAAGGGTGGCAGCCTGGAGTTCCAGAGATATCTGCAGTGTGGGATGAAGATTGGGATAAATTTGAAGATGAAGGTTTGACTTTTTTTTCTTACATAAAAAAGGGGTTGATTTGATTTATAGTTTAGCTAAAATAAATAGATAGGAAATAGCTAAATAAGAAATCAATGGAATGAGTTGGATGATACAACCTATTAAGTCGTTCTATGGGAAAAAAAAATTAGATTATTTTCTTAATGATATAGTTTTTAAAATCACATTTAAAACATTAATTATTTATAAAACAAAAAATTGACAAATTGGATTATTGTTTAATAGTTAATACGTTAATTATTTAGCTCCGATGTGTCAAATGGTTAAAATAAAAAATTAGCTAAAAAGGAAATTTGTTGGTATTATTATTATTATTATTATTTATTCAAATGACTACAACCTCTTAAGTCATTCTTTCAAAAATAATTAGATTATTGTTTTAATAATACAGTTTTTAATTACCCATTTTGACTTGTAATTAGATTTTGGATTTAAATATATTTTTGTAATGACAGGATTCTCATTTGATGTTGTGGGACCTACAAATCCTAAATCCACATCTCAACCAGAAAAGTCGGCTCCAATGGATAACTTTTCTCAGGATTCATATTCAAATGCTGACGTGGAATCAGAGAAGCCTTTCGAGACTGAGTCAGCATATGAAGATGAGTCAGCAAAAAGTCCAGCTGGCAGTCCCACAGCACAAAAAATATTTGAAAGTCCAACAAAGGAGGATTCGTTTAGCCATTTCGGAAAGAGCTTTGATGCAGACACAGATACTCAAAGGTACCTTTTGTATTCGGGGTTGTACTTTGTGCATTAATGCATGTAACCTTATTTGGTGAAATAAAAAAAATAGAAACTAAACCCATGTTCTTGTTTTCCTTTTAGTGGCTTTGATGATCAAGGATGGGGTACTTTTGACAACAATGATGATGTGGACTCAGTGTGGGGCTTCAATAGTGAAGCCACTAAGGTGACTTCATTTCTCACATGTTCTCATTACATTTAGTTTTTTAGGCTATTTTTCATGATGAGGGCGTTTATGTCTTTTGCACAAACAATTGACAGAGCGAATCCATGTCCACCTTTTTGGATGAGACAAAAAATGGCAACTTTTTAGTCTCCAATGACATTTATGCCCTTGGAATTAACTTATGCAACTTTTCTTTTGTGAAAGTTAATTTCGTAGAAGTCTTGAAATGACGTTTATGCCCTTGCAAATAAACTTACACAAGTTTTTGTGAAAGTCAGACTTCGTAGGAGTCTTGAAATGACATTTATACCCTTGCAAATAACTTATGCGACTTTATTTCGCGGAAGTGGCATCCTTCAAAATGACGTATATGCCCTTTGCAAATAATCTTAATGCAATTTGTTGCGAAAGTCAAACTTCATAGGAGTCATGAAATGACATTTACACCCTTGTGAATAAATATAATTTTTTTCGCAGGAACCCGATCATGAAAAACACGGAGAGAATTATTTCTTCGATTCAAGCAGCTTCACCGCAAGTCCAAGGAGAACCGATTCCCCTCACTCCAACACCTTCTTCCAAAAAAAGAGTCCATTCGGATTTGACGATTCTGTCCCTGGATCACCTGCATCTCGAGCCGGGACCTCACCGCGTTACAGCGGGGGAGGAGCAGAGAATTCCTTCTTCGACAATTTCTCGCAATACGACTCATTCAGTGCCACGGATCGCGGTTCACCAAAACGAGATACGTTCTCACGGTTCGACTCCATGAGCAGCACCACACAGGATAATAACAACTTCTCGAGGTTTGACTCGATGAGTAGCACAACACAGGATCGTAATTTTGCAAGGTTTGATTCTATGAGCAGCAGTGCGGGGTATGACCATGGTCAAGCGTATTCGTTTGATGATTCGGATCCGTTTGGGTCGAGTGGACCGTTTAAGGTGTCAACAGATAGTCAAACGGGTAAAAATGAATCTGATAAATGGGCGTTCTAGTTATATATATCATTTCATGTAATTTTTTGTTTTGTGCTATTGGTTTGATAGTTGTGTTTGTATCATTTGCTTCATCTTTGACTATGTCTCTTTGGTATAATTTTGACTAGAATTACCTATATTTGTTGATTGTTATTATTATGAAATACTTGGTTTTGATTGTTGGATGCTTCTTTTAGACGTGTACCCATTTTTCATATAACACCAAGTTTGTTGGTTGGTGTTATATGTTATTATTGTACACCATTTTCTGTTGAACTTTCATGTGTACTACATTTTGGCTCTTTAAGCTTCAGTTTTTGCATCTCTATTTCAGTTAATTATATAACTTTTTTAATAATAACATTTGTTGCTTGTATTATTATGTTATATATTGAAGTGAAATTAGCTAATTATATGTATAATAAGATTAATGGTATAATTTATCAAGTTATTGTTTAAAAAAAAAGATGCAAGACAAATTTGTAAAAAAAGCAAATTAATACGAGATATTTTTGAAGTTTTATATGAATCACAAAAGAATATGCTTGCAATCTGGTAGATTGTTATTAGAAAATAGAAATTGTAATAATTCCATAAAAACTACTGTAGTTTTTTTTTTCTTCAGTTTAGCCACAGATTTTCTTTCTTTCTATTTTAACCATTGAGAGCTTCCTTTTTATTTTTAAAAAACCACTACAAACTTTGATTTTTGTAGAAACCACTATGAGTTTGAAAATTGTTTGATTTAACCACTTGAAAAAATAAATCTTTTCAAATTAACCATCGATATTGAAAAAAAAAAGTAACCTCTATTTGTTATTTGCAACTCAGGAAAAAACGAAAGAGTAGTTTTTTTTTTTGAAAAAAGAATATAAAGAAATGATGTCAAAAGCTAGCAAAATCAAACGGCCAGAAAATCACAAGGTAGAAAAAAAACACGAACAATGAAAGTCTCAATGTTTTATTATCAATAAAAAAAATAAAAATAAAATAAAATAAACAAAAACTCCCTTGAACGTGCTACACGGAAAATACTTATAACTCTAAAGAAAAAAAAAAAACAGTTCAACTTTCCTAAAAAATACTCCTAAGATTTAGATTAAAGATCTATTATTATTTTAACATAATTCAAAATAGGAAACTAATCAACTCAATAATTGACTAAAACATAAAAAAGTCAGCCGATAGGAGGCTGTGATAAGATGCTCATGCATCATCCTCCATGCCTTGAAAAGGAACCGCCTTCGAGTGTGCTCCTTCATCTGTTCCCTCCCGAAATGGCGATAAATCAACAACATTAAAAATTGCTGACATGTTGTAATGACCAGACAGTTCAATTTTATAGGCATTATCATTAATCTTCTTGAGCACCCAGAAAGGACAATCAACACGGGGCTTCAACTTCCCAAAACGACCGGATGGAAAACGTTATTTTCTCAAACGAATCCAAACCAAATCACCCTCCTTGTAGACAACTTGCTTCCTATGCTTGTTTGCTCGGTTTTGATACGTCGTATTATGTTTAATGATTTCATCACGAACCTTTTGATGGAGAGTTTTGATATGATGTGATTGATTTTCCGCCTCAACACTAACATGGTCAACCAGGGGAATAGGTGTCAAATCAAGCGTAGTAAGGGGGTTTCGACCGTATACGGCCATGAACGGGCTCAACCCAGTAGTGCGGTTCGTGGAACGGTTATAGACAAACTCAGCCTGAGCAAGGGTTAAATCCCATTATGTGGGGTTATCACCAATAAGACTCCGTAAAAGATTCCCCAAACTTCAGTTTGTAACTTCGGTTTGGCCATCCGTTTGCGGATGGTGAGAGCTACTAAATTGCAGCTTAGAACCCATACTTTTCCAAAGAGTCCGCCAAAAATGACTCATGAATTTAACATCCCCATCCGAGTTGATGGTCTTTGGAACTCCATGAAGCTTGACAATTTTAGAAAAATACAATTTTGCAATTTGGCTGGCATCATAAGTCTTAGCATAGGGTATAAAACGAGTCATTTTTGAAAACCAACAACCATCACGGATCTTTTTGTCTTTGATTTCGAGGTAAACATAGGACAAAATCCAAACTAACATCCTCCCACGGGGCAATGAGAACAGGCAACGGTGTATATAGGCCCGCACCAGTGTGGTGGGTTTTGGCCACATGGCACACACGGCATCGAGCAATTATACGAGCAACATCGTGCTCCATCTTGGGCAAAAAAACGACCATGGATTAAGTCCAAGGTTTTATCCCTGCCAAAGTGACCCGCAAGACCTCCAGCATGACTTTTATTGATAATTGAGTCCTGTAACAAGCTCACGGGGACGCACAACCGAGCACCCTTAAAGAGGTAACCATCGTGTCTTGAGAAGTCGTGAAGGGGTTTGTCGTGGCAGCAATTCCAGATGGTTCTAAAATCTGGATCATCCTAGTATAAGTCCCTGAATGAATCAAAACCACAAACCTGAAATTTCATTTCTGAAAGGAGCACGTGACGTCTACTTAGAGCATCAACAATAGTATTTAAAGGTCGGACCCTATGTCGAATAACAAAGGAATAAGCTTGCAAGAATTTGACCCAATTGGCATGGCGAGGGTTGAGTTTCTGCTGTCCCTGGACATACTTGAGGGCTTCATGGTCAAAATAGAGAATAAATTCGTTAGCGAGTAAGTAATGTCGCGAATATTCCAAACTACGAACAATGGCATAGAACTCATTATCATAGGTAGAGTATTTGCGGTGCGTTTCATTGAACTTCTCGCTGAAAAAAGCAATCGGCTTTTGATTTTGACTTAGAACATCGCGTATACCAAGACCCGAAGCGTCGTACTCGACTTGAAACACCTCGTTGAAATTAGGAAAACCCAAAACAGGAGCTTGTGTAACCTTCTGTTTTAATTCTTCAAATGCATTTCCAGCCTCTTTAGTCCAAGAAAACTTCCCGCCCTTCATACATTCCTCCATAGGGTCAATAATGGTACTAAAATTTAGAATGAAACGCCGGTAGAAGGAGGCTAGCCCATGGAAGCTACGAATATCATGGATCGTAGTGGGTGTAGGCCAGCTCGTAATAGCTTCAACCTTGGAATTATCCTTCTGAATCCCATCACCTGAAACTAAGTAGCCAAAAAAGGTAACTTCATTGGTTAGGAAATGGCACTTCTTCCCGTTGGCTTACAGTTTCTGCTCCCGCAAGACTGTAAACACCTCTCGAAGATGTGATACATGCTGCTCGACAATTTGGCTATAAACTAAAATGTCATAGAAGTAAATAACAACAAATTGACCTATGAAAGGTTTAAAAACATGGTTCATCAGCCGCATAAAAGTGCTTGGTGCATTTGACAACACAAAGGGCATCACCAACCACTCGTACAGTTCGTCGCGTGTCTTAAAGGCGGTTTTCCACTCATCCCCAGGTCGTTTACGAATCTGATGGTACCCGCTCCGTAAATCAATCTTGGAGAAAATCGTCGACCCATGCAACCGATCTATTAAATCATCGAAACACGGAATAGGGAATCAATATTTAATCATGATTTTATTCACGGCTCTACTATCAATACACATGCGAAAAGGTACCCCCTGTTTTGGAACTAGAAAGGTTGGTACGACACACGGACTCATACTCTCTCATATTAGTCCTTTGTCGAGTAGCTCGCTGACTTGTCGGTGTAACTCCTCAAACTCTTTTGGGTTCATACGGTAGGCGGGCTTGTTTGGAATAGTGGAACTGGGTAAGAAATCAATGCAGTGTTGTATCTCCCTTATAAGTGGTAGACCAGGTGGAATATCCTCAGAGAAGACGTCCCTAAATTCATCGAGTAATGATTGGATCAGATCTGGCACAGCCTCTGTTACAACTAAAGCATAAATGGTAGGTTGAGGGATGAGTTTGGTTAACCCAATGGATTCTGTTTTGGAGAGAAACAAGTTGTCACCAGTACTACTATCCCTGGTGTCTAGGGGTGCCAACATTATATTAACTCCATCCTTCTTGAAATTGTGTTCAAAAAACCGTTGTGTTTGGTCTTTCGATCATATGGCCAAGGTCTTCCCAATAACACGTGGCATGCATCCATGGAAAAAACATCGCACCAGACTTCATCTTCATATTTTTTTTCCGGATCGAGAACTGAACTAAAAAACGTTTATTTACCTTCACAACATTCCCCTTCTTGAGCCACGTTAATCGGTATGGTTATGGATGATTTTCCATCTTGAGGCCTAACTTTTCCACCATTGTTGTTGCCACCATGTTGTCACAGCTGCCCCCATCGATTATGACACTACAAACCTTGCCTTTTGATGTACATTTGGTGCGAAAAATGTTGTTGCGCAACCAAGAACGATCATCTACTGTTTTTCTACATCAACGTTTAGGACACGCTGAGTAAATAAAGCATTGCCATGATCAGCATACACCACCTCGATCTCCTCCCCATCACTTTCATCCTTCCCTTCAGTATCATAAACAGGATCGGTTCCCCCACCAAAGTGACCAGTTGTTTGTTTGGACATTCCCTCGCCATATAACCCACACCTTGACATTTGAAGCATCGAAAAACACGTGTAGCAGGTGGATTGGCTGCAATACCTGTTGGCGTGTCAATTTTAGAGTTGGTTCCCTTGCTTTGTTGTGTCAATGGTGAACGGGAGGACGACACAAACCTGTTAGCTCCAAGTTTTCCTCTGTTTCTTAACTTAACTGTTTTCAACCTTTAAGGCCAAACGGCATACATCAACATACGTCCAATATTGTTGAAGGTGAACAATATCAGCAATCTCAGGTTTGAGGGTTCCCAAAAAATGTGCAATAATTTGTTCCTCTTCTTCCTCAACAGAACATCGCATCTAGGGCCGGCTCTACCCTTTGCAAAACTAAGCAAGGGCTTAGGGCCCCAATTCTAAAGTGCCCTCAATTTTAAAGTTTATTCTATTATATATGTATATATACGTATTTCTTGGATTATAAAAACAAGTTGGAGCTTGGCCTGGTGGTAGAAGTGCTAGTTTATAAAACTAATGGTCTCAAGTTCAAAATTGTTGGCTTATTTGAAGGGCCCCATTTTTTTTTTTTACTTAGAGCCCCCAAATTTGTTGAGACGCCCTATTCGCATCCTAAGTCGATCGAACTCAACAATGAAATCTTCAACAGAAGACGCTTTCTGGGCTAAACTATGATGATCTAAGAAGGCTTCTTGATGATGATTTACTGGGAGAAACTTTCCATGTAATAGCTTTTTCATCTTCGACCATGTTTTGATTTTTGATTTATTCTCTTGTTGCATTGTTTCTTCACGTGTTCCCACCAAAGTGAAGCAGACTTCATTAGCTTAATGGCTACAAGTTTTACTTTCAAGGCGTCGAGAATATCCTTTAAATCAAAGACCCGTTCTATGGTGCTCAACCAATCTATGAAATCGTCGGGATGTGCTTTCCCATCAAACTCAGGGATCTCTATCTTCATTCCCAAGTTTCGTAAAAGGTCATCATAGTGTTGCCTCTGGGTATTCCGTTGATAAGTTTCATATGCGTTCCTTCCTTGGAAACCCCCACCGAACGGATTCATGTCCCTCTCTTTGTCATCTTGAAGGTTGTGTTCTGATTGAGAATCTTGGTTTTGAGCCTCTTTTTGTATCTCCAATTCCCGAACTCGTTGTTGTAACACCGTAAAAAATTAAAACAAATTTTCACATTTCCAAACACATTTTTCCAAACTCATTCATTCATTAAATGTTATACTATCGTGTCTTTGTTTCACAAACTATCTACCAAGATCAAAATACATAAAATCCCATGTGTGTGTATGAATCAAGCCGGCGCCTTCCCGCAGTCATCGCTGACACCTGAAACACATAACACGTAACACTGTAAGCATAAGCTTAGTGAGTTCTCCCAAAATACCACTCTAATACATAATAGCCACTCGAGGCTGTAACTCTGTTGACCCTCTGGTCAATGTGTCTCAGTGGGGCCCTCAAGCCCCAACTCTCTGTGGGCCCTCTGGCCCTAACTCTAGGGACCCGAAAGTCCCAACTCTGTAACTCTGAATCATGCATATCACATATCACAATAAATCACAACACATAAATAATATGCAAATACACTGGTATATAACTCTATAGTACTCTGTCACATAACTCTGTTACCACACCGGGTAAAGTATAGTGAGAAGACTTACCTCTGGTATCTCGGTAAACCTCTGACTCGGTAAACGTTGGCCTAGCCTCCGCCTAATCATATGAAATAAATACTATGTTTAATATAACTCTCAAAGCCTAGACTATGTCCTCTTATGACACTCTGAGAAGGGTAAAAGACCATTTTACCCCTCTCATAACTCAAAGGCCCCACAATAGACCATACCCTAAAAGTCAACCAAAAGTCAACTTTCTGGGTTACTCTGCGCGTACCAGATGTGTACGCTGAGCGTACCCGACTGCATCTCAGAATCGGGGAACGCCACCCAGTACGCGGCGCGTACTGGGAGTACGCCCAGCGTACTCCCCAGCTTCAGCCCCCTTAGCTCTTAAGGTCTTAAACAGTTAAGTCCCACGTCCAATTTCTAGATCTGACCACATCTAAGCCTCTTAATCCATAAAGTTGATGACTTTAAGCCTTTGCATGGCTGAACAAGCCACCAACTCCCATAATGTTCCATCCTTTAACTCTAGAAGGCTTATTACGCAAGCATGACCTCAAACTAACATCCAAGATGGAAACTTTATGGTTCTAAATCACTAATACGACTGAAAAGGGACAAATCTCGGACCATGGAGCACTTTACACTCATAAAGTCTCCATCTTTGGGGTTTTTAGCCCTAGAAATTGCATATGCAACAACCAAAAGAAGAGGAAAGTTTTGAACTTTATACCTCTAAGTGTAGCCCTTTTCTCTGTAGATCTCAGATCCAAAATGGCACCTCAAGCTTTAGCTTCCAAGAGCTCCTTTCCTTCTTCTTCACTAAGTCACCAAAGCACAATTAGCTCCAACAACACTCTCACACACTAAGGACGATGGGAGGCTCTCTCTTAGGGTTTCACTCACTGATATGGAGGCCGAGAAATGAGCCTTAGCACCCTTTAAATAGTGCACAAGACGGATTAGGGTTTTTGCACCTGGGCCGGGTACGCCCGGCGTAACTCTAGGTACGCCCAACGTACCTTGGCGAGTCCGTGTCCAATTTAAGCGCATGAGTACGCGCAGCGTACCCCTCCAGTACGCCCAACGTACTCACTTGCTATATTCCCTCCACTCAAGAACTAATCATGACCAATTGACAAAGAATAAGAGTTAAAGAAATGCACCTGAATCTCGGGGTGTTACAGTTATAGCCTTTCGATCTCAACATCTCGTGGATCTGGTTGTTCTCCTTTGTTGCCTCTGTCGGTGTATCTACGAGGAGGAGGATCACATCTACCACGTCCGACCATTTGAGAGATAACTTGTGCTCTGATACCAAATGATGCCAAAAGCTAGTAAAATCAAATGGCCAGAAAATCACAAGGTAGAAGAAAACGAGAACAATGAAAGTGTCGATGTTTTATTATCGATAATCAAAAAAATAGTAATAATAAACCTCCCCTCAACGTGCTACATGGAAAATACTTATAACTTTGGGAAAAAAAAAAGACAGCTCAACTTTCCTAAAAAATACTCCTAAGATTTAGATTAAAGATATATTCTGTAAACAAATATTATCTTCCACTAAATCTCTTAATATATTAACATAATTCAAATAGGAAACAAATCAACTAAAACATAAAAAAATCAGCCAATGAGGTTGTGATCGGATGCTCCTGCATCATAAAGTTTCAGTGGTTAAACAAGAAAAAAAATTCTTTGATTGGTTGCACAAAAAAATATATCCAAACTACAATAGTTTTTATAGAATTTGACCTTCAAATTTCTAATGATTCAGTATTGCTACACTGTTGTGGTTTAAATAACCAAAAATCAAAATATATTAAAACTCAACCAACCACATAGATGCTGAAAATCCTTAACTATTATAAAACATATTTAAATATCATATCATAGAAGATGAATATAAATATTGACAGAATGATAGTTTAATAAAGTCACATCCAACTATGTAATAGCAAAACTGGTAATTTACAAATATCAATCACCAAGGAGACAAATATAAAAGAGTGGACAACAAATGGAGTCAAAACTATAGTGTGTAATTATTTTGGACACTAGTTAAAACCCAATTGGCCAATTTTTTTCATTCCTCAGTGCTATTCGTATCCTTAACCTTGTGTTGTAACAATGCATGATGAGATCCAAGAATTGATGAACGTACATTTGCTATCTCCACAAGTGTTTCAAGAGCTGCAACAAACAAGAAACAGTAATTTTTTATATTTTTTTACATTGGGAATTAACAGCAAAAGTTTCTTCCAATTTATTATAAAAATGAAAGTGTGATTTTTACCTTTCTCAAATGAAAGTTGAGAAGCCCGAAGCTTAGGAGAAACCAAACCCCCAAACATTGATAGTACTTTCCCTCGTTCTTTTTGAAGCTGTGCATTGAAAGGGTATTTTAGTAATTTCCTTTTTTGATATGATTTAATTTTGTCACGCAGATTTTCCTATTTCCCCATATCATTGAAAGGCGTTTTAGACATTTTAAGTAGTAACAAAATATATTCTTGTTAAACTAAAGAGTATGATTTGGTGTAGTTTAAGAGAAACAGTTGAAACACCCTTCTTGTAATATTAGCAAAGTAGGAGAATCTTGTGGAATAAAACAAAAAATTATCACGATAACAATGAAAAAAATAGTAATTTGAGATTTAAAATAATATCTGAAAAAAAAAAAAAAAAAAAAAAACTTGTAATTTTAATCACTCACATGGTTTTCTGTTTTATGTGGTGATGCAGTTGTTTCAGATTCATTGCTTTCTTTTGTTGAATCTTTATTGTCAGTGTTTTCTTTCTCAAAAGACGAGTCTTTTTTGTCAGAAGATGTCCATTTGCATAAAGTCAAATGTGGTGACTTTTTCATTGAGCCACCTAAACACAGAAAGGAAGTAACCAATTATTTCCTACAACTGTAAACAAGAAAATCTACATAACAATTGTGAACAAAAATTCTAGAGTAACAATAATAAAAAGTTGCAACAATTCAATGTTACCTAATACAAGAAAATTTCAAGCTAAAATGAATGGCTTTTAGTTTAGCATTACAGATTGTTGGAAGAGGTTTAGTTTGTTAAAGGGCATTTTAGACATTTGACTAAATAATCATACGTTTCTATAAAATCATGTCAAGTTGACAAAGGAAGTATAATCCACCTAATGTTTACATATCATCTCATCTGTGAGAATCTTATTGCAATATTCCCAAGTGAAAGAATTTACCATTTTACCCTTGTAAAGATAGGAAAGGGGTAAAGAAATACCATTGTCATAATTTACTTCCACTTTTGTAGCAGCAGAGTGTTGTTTAAGGGTAAGCAAAGCAGTGTTTACACGTGAACCTCCCATTGAATGTCTAGCACTAGCTAACTCCAGCCATCCCTGCATCTCAATTCACATAAATATCATTTTTTTTTAAAAAAAAGAGATACAAATTGTGTATTTATAATATAATTTTTAGATGAGTTAATGGAATAATCAAAACTTGATTGAAAATTTCAAGAATCCAAAACCTGGCGAAGTGTGGAAGTTAATGATTCAATCAAGATGAGATAGTTATCCACTGAATCAAGAAAATTCAATGTGTTTTCATTTTGTTCTTCTAATTCTGTTGTGGATAATTCAGAAACTTGAGTATTTTCAGCTTCTTTTTCTTCTCCCATGGTGGAAAATCACAAAACTTCCTTTACTGATATTGACAAGTTTGACCCTCCTGCTAATTTTGCCCTGAAACTATCAGATTTGGTTAATTAAACCTTCACATTTATCAGTTTTTGATATTTTGTCTCTGATCAGTTAAATTGATAAAAATGAAAATTTCAGCTAGAAACTAGAATGAGTCGAGTTTCTCCATAAAAAAACAACTCTTTAAGTTTTTAAAATTCGATAGGTTATTTGGCATTCTTCATGTCAAGTGGCTAAAGAAGAAGAACATATCTAAGTACTCAAGATGACTAAAAGACCCCAAATTGCAACCCGAAAGATACAAAAATAAACACAAATTGACTTTAAGTATATGCAAAACATAGACAGATGATAATATGATATAATAGTTAGCAAAAAGAAAACCCTAAATTGGAAATTCCCATATAGTGTATGTTTGAATAAACTAGTTGAATCTGAGTAAATGATCATTTTACCCTTCTGTGTACAAAATCATTTATAAAATAACTTATAGAACTATTTATAATGAAGCTTTTATAAACACAAATCAAACCATTTATAGAGAAGCTTTTACAAACAAATACTTTCCATATATAGACATAAACAATTTATCAATCCCATAAGCACAAAATGAAGCTTTGTAAACAAATGAGGGGATGTCAAAATGCAAGCTTTAATATCCGATTATAATGAATAGAATCAAAAAAATGAAACCTTTATAAAACCTAGAATATATCTTCCAATTATAATGATTTAAATTACTTTTTGAGACAACATGAAAATCCAGCAATTTATTAATATAGGATGTCTGAATGGCAGGATCTAATGCTTAAGATCTGAAAAATTAAGTTGTCTGAATTTCTAAGAGGGTCTGAAATCTTAGATCTGAATTGTTAAATGTTGTTTGGTTGGATCATCTCAATTACAATGTTGAATGATAAAAATAACCATTTTATCCTTACGTTATTTTTTTTTTATGAACTCAATATTTTTATTTATAAAAAGATAAAAATGTCCATTTTCAGTAAATTCACAACATATTTCAGCCCAAATCAATAACAGGAACAAATCAGAACAATAAACACATTATCAACAACTAGGAACAAAATTTCAGTAATTTATTTCACCCCAAAAAACACAAAATCAGCAAAGGTTCATCAAGGTTCAGAAACAGATTTCAGTCATGAATGAACATATAACCCATCTCAACAAATAAACACAAAATCAGCAACTAAAATATCAGGAAAACAAAACGAATAGGAGCAATATCTAGGAAAGAAATAAAACGAAGTGCAAAGTGAAAAAAAATAATAATAAAAAACGAAGTGGTAGGGCGTCTTGTGAAGAGCAATATCATAAATCAGTCGACAGGAGCATCAAAGCGAAGCAAAATCAGAAGAAAAAAACGAGAGAGAGAGAGAGAGAGAGAGAGAGAGATAGACGAACCTGTTGTGGATACGGCTGGAGTTGGCGGCGGTGAGGGTGGCGGCGACAGCAGATGGCGATGGGAAGGAGATTCGTCGGTGGCGATGTGGAAACGAGAGTGTACGACGCAACCTGATCTCTCGAAACTAGGTCGAATCATGCACTTCAATTTCAAGTTTCTTCCTTTTCGATTTTTCATATTTTATGGTTTTCAAGTTATCAAGTATGAGTTTTTATATTCAACATTTTTTTTTTCATAACTATATTATCTTATCTTATTTTCATAATTTTATTGTATTTCCTTCGAATATATGTTTAAATAAGACCGAAGTCAAAATTTCATTTTATTTAGAGTTAATTCAATGATCTTTCTTATAAACATGTACAAATTAAAAGCTTATTAATTTGTTGTTATCTTTCTGATTTTGAATCATAATACATAAATAAAGCCTTGTATGATATGTTTTGTTTATGACTGAAACTGAAACAACCTTTTTTGTGATTTTTTTTGCATTGATTTTTGAAAAATATATATTGTTTTATGTTAAAGGGTAGTTATAGGTTAAGGTTACAGGTTACTCCAATTGTGATTTAGTGTTTGCATTTATCTGTGAACTATAAAATGTTTTACTAACTTCACAATTAAATTGTTGAAGGATAAGCTATAGGTTAAAGTTAGTCATACGCAAGCATTCAACCTCCTTATTTGCTAATGTGTTTCGAAAGAATTCATGTGGTTAAATGAATTTGACAAAATGTTTTTTTATATCTGTCTATATATGGTGCATGACAGGAAATACCTAAAACAGAATTTTATGTTAAAATTCTTGAAGAACAAAAAGAGCATTCTAACCATGTGGTGTGTTTTATTGGTGTTACTTGGTTCTAACCATGTGGTGTGCATTCTATCAGAATTACTAAAGTTTGTTTCATTATTTATCATATAAAAGCATTCTCAAAGAATTTTAAAATTACTAAAGTTTGTTTTATTATTTGTCATATAAAAACATTTTCACAAAATTTCATTTTTACATAATTCGACTTCATACAGTTATTCTCATAGAATGTATGAAAAGGAACACGATGATCAAAGGCCTGAAGGTTGGATGATGGTGTGTGAGATGGAGATGAAAAATGGTCACTGATTTTTGTAAAGCTTGGAGAAAGGAGAGGTTCATCTTGGTGCAAGGGAACAAGGAGCAAGTTTGGATCCACCATTCTCTTCAGATTTCTGAGTTGTTGAAGGTATAAAGTTCATAACCTTGCACTTATTCTTCTAGATTCAAGTTTGAGTGCATATTTGGGTGGTTTTGGTCCCTTCCATGGATACTCTTGGAGTTTAAGGAACTCTAGAGCTTGGTATGGCTCATCTTATGGTCAATATGTTTTGTAGAATGGGAAAAGGGAGCCATGTTGGTGTCACCTTGTGTCCATGCACAAGTTTTGGCCCCATTAAGGACTTAATGGACTTAATATTTTAGATCTAGATTACGAATGGAGTCCTAATGGATAAAGTTGGAAACTTTATCTATTAAGTCATTGAAAAGAAGTAGATCTGAAGTTATGGTTTTAGATCTGTAAGGATTAAGCACTTAATGAAGATTTTGACATTCTGTCAGAAACCACGACATAGCCAAGGGCTTGCCACAATGTGGAGGTGCTCAAATGCTCAATTATTTTGTCCTTAGCTGGCCACGACGTGTCCAAGAGCTTGCCACGATGTGGGAGTCGTTGACATGTTGACCTGTTGACTTTTGTTAACCTTTGACCGTTGGCTTTTGACCAGTTTGAACTTGGGTTTAACCAACTATTTTTTGGTTGTTGATCAAGGTGTATTCTTTGATTGGGTGGCAATCAGTTCACGAGATTGTCCAGTGTGAGGATTTGAGAGTGTTGCAGTGTTATCCAGTTCTGCATTTCATGTGAGTTTCCTACTATACTATGTATTAAAGTGTATATCCTTGTATGTCAGGATATAGGAGTAGTGGTATGCTGGTTAGAGTACCATTAGGTAGGTAATCGTCTAGTGGAGTGTCCTAGGAGTTGTATGTAGTCACGTTGGATAGCCTGAGTGTTGGGTTTTTTTTCAAAAATTGTTTAAAAAACATAAACATAACAACGAAAGACTTAAGATTTGAACAAAATAAAACTATTTTTATTCCCACCAAAGGATCACTTTGCAAGACTTTGAATGATTAAAACAACCATAAAAGAAAATCATTACAACCTTTGAAGACTTTGGTTCCTTTTGGCAATTAAGAAGTTGATGAAGATGACTTTAAGCTCCAAAGAAGAAACTCTCTAGAAGTATCCACCAAGCAAGAGTAGAACCATCAAAGTATTCTAGTAAATACTTGTCATTTGTTTTTCATAAGCCATTGAAATATATACCAAATATATGTTCAAAGGTGAACCAACAAATGGACATTTCTTTATCACAAAATGCAAAAAAAAAAAAAAAAAAAAAAAAAAAAAAAAAAGGAAGGATTGCAACTTCGAAATTGGAATCCCTTGGAGAGCTCCCTAGCTCTTGATTTTACCTAAAAAAAAAAAGAATGATTCCCCAAAAGAACTAGCTTCAAATGCTTGCAAGTCCTTCACTTTTATCTATCATCCCATTTACACAAAATGTGTAACCGTAAAGCAATAAACATGTCATGGAACACATATTAAACAAAGAAAAGGGATTTTTGGACCATGCCTACTGATAATTTCATCCATGTGGTCAAGGAGACCAAATCCAAGTCAAAGGGGACAAAGACCAAAAACTATTTACTTTATTTAATGAACTAGTTTCATATACTTATTAAATGTACTCATGTAGGGTTCATATTGTAATAGATTGTATTGAGTCTGGTTGTGAAATTTTGTTAAGTATGATTGGATCTTTTGTGTTACTTAATGCAATTAGTATGTTCATATTCACATTTAGTTTCTTAGGTTCACAATTGTTAGCTTTCTGTTATGACAGTTGTTGGAAATCCATGTGTCTTGACCTTATTGGTTAGATGCCTTTCTAGCTTTCTTTTATGTCATATAAACAAAAGGTTAGTTAGAAGTAGAGAGTAACTTTTATGGAGTCTTACATTCACTGTAATTGCATTCCTTTATTCTCTAATTAAAAGCAAGATCTTATTTAGATTCTCATGTTCTTCTTGATTACGCCATTTGAGTTCATGATTTCATTCTTATCGAATCTATCTATCTAGCAACTCAAAGTGCCAATTTGTTTGTACATGACATAAATAATCATACTATATGATATATTACTAGTTTTTTTTTATAGAAATAATAATTCCCAACATGTTGGTAAAAAATTATTTCCCAAAATAATGTTTTCCCAATTAAATACAAGTGTTGATATATTTATTAATAATCAAACTTTACTAATAAATAATCAATTGATGGTAATTTGCTATAAGGTGTGACCCTATATGATCATATATTATTAGCAATATCATTCTATAATGACTCTTAGTCATTATAGATCTTTCAATCTCCCAAGAATCATCATAGATTGATATAGATAGTGGTGAATGTCTAGCAATATTTTACTGCCCCCAATAACATATGACAAAGAATGTCATTCATCAACATCCAATTCCCAAAAGCTCCAAGCTTCAAGTGATGTATTAAGGTGAGTTTATCAGTTATCCCCTTGTTACATACATCCTATTGAACATGATACTTAGATCGCAATCAATCTCATTTGTAATTCAACTTTGGGTAAGGTGCGTTAGATGTCTAACTCTCAAATCTCAATACATAAGAGGAACAAATCCCATATTGACTATATAAGCCTATTGCATAGTTCACACCATACCCGAAAATGGCTTTTATAAATGCCCGATTAAGGATTAACATTTGACCATATCAAAGCACAACACTCCCTACACTTATGCCCCACTATGTAATCTCAAGAATTAAAGATACATATATAGTACCTTTTAATAAAGTATCACTTATAACTACAATTTATGGGTTGATCTTGTTGTGGGTCCGTTCAATACTAGTTCTCTGACAAGTACCTATGAAACTTGGTTACAGCCACTTGCCTACTTTCATCCAGTAAGAGTCAACCAATCTGATTCATACTAGTCTTACTTCATAATTGCTCCCACAATTATAAACGACTATGAACTTTTAGAATAATAAGATTATTCATGGATTAAACATGTTAATATAGAATGCACCAAGTATTAATGTGATGATCATATCCCAGTATATCAAAATATTATGTAATAGTTGTTACTAAAATGTTCCAATATCTAAATACTATATCCAAATCAAAATCCTATTTCTAGAATAATAAATTCTTACAACCGAAGTGTGAGCATTCATACTTAACTCAAAAGAAGGAGAGCTTTATTAATGGGTCTGGCTAAATTTAATTTGTGTGAATTATATGAATACTATAATCTCCATATTTGACTTTACTTTAGGTATAGTTAAATATCTCGAAGAATATGATTGGTGTTCTATTGGAATTAGTGTCTAAGCCCATAACTATAATTGATATGTACTTGACCCAAGAGTAGCATGATCCATTTGGGTTGCATTTCACCGGAACAATTTGACAGGATGGACTTTGAGAAGAGGTTATTTATGATTTACTAATATATCATAAGTTCTAATATATTAATGTGAAAATCATATTATTTAATTAGTATTGGTCAGAGATTAATTTAGAATTAATTCAATGATCAAAAGAGACTAATTAAATATACGGGGACTGATTTGGCAAATTAATGATTCTTATAGTGTGGGCCAATGGTTACTTAGGTTGGGATATAAGTCCATGGATAGTCCATGGAGGTTTAACCCATGGAGCCTAAGTAATATGAAAGGTCATGTCCATTAGGGATTACATGTATGTAACCCTAGACTTTGCCACACTATAAAAGGAGTGCCTTAGCTCCTAAAATCGGGACTAGTGGTTCAAGAAGATCATAAGAGCCGATTTTTGTGCAAGTTACTCTCTCTCAAGTCCTCCATTGTTGGTGGTGTTTTGTGAAGCATTTGAGGCATCACATTTGGGGTGCTAGGCTCTTAAAGGTCCAAGTTAACAAGCTACAACAAGAGGTAAGTCATCTAACTAGTTTTTGTTGTTCAAGTAACCTTGCTTTGTATGCTAGTTAAGATAGTGCTTTGGAAAAAATCAAATTGCATGTATAATTAGAGAAAACATAGATCCAAAGCATTTAGGGTTGCATTTGCACCAT